CCTCCCACCTCATACCCACCTACCCACGTACGTGGGACATGAAACAGTCTTTGAAGGGTTCAATTTTAAAGATCTTAGTTTATTAAATCTTAGTTTATGATGAATTATAGATGCATTTGTAATGACCCTTGATAGCAAGTTGCTACTACATCCCAGCTGGGTTCGATTCCCACTCGGGGCATCGGATTTGGCACACTTTCTTTCAATTTCTTTTTCAAAGTTCTCAATGGTAATGCATGTTGTTTTAAATTATTATGTCACCCAATCACAGTGATAATTGGAGACATATAACCTTCTGTACAACCCCACAATATGAAAGGTCATTTATAATTCGAATGTCTACACTATGGGGTGAAAGTGAAATATACGTGTTGGAGAGAACTTGTACTTGAACGTGTCATCTTGACATTAGTCTCTCTTCGTATTATTTTCGTGCCTTAATGAGAATGAAGGTATAAGGTAAATAGCTGTCGTAGGCTCCCTGAAAGAAAATTCGAGGGGAGACAGAGGGGCTATGATTTTACACTTCTTCTCTGAAAAAAAACGTGTAGCTTAAACTCCCTGTTTCATCATGGGAAATCATGGCCTTCTATTAGCTTCACACTAGTAGTATCATTAGTATGATATTTCTGGTTAAATATATAAGCACAAGTGACAAAGGGAAAGGACCAAAAGTTGTAATGGAACTTAGCAAGAAAAAGCAAACTCTAAGTGCATACCAGTCAAGAAAAACAAACCCCATATAGCCCAAAACCATGATCTAACGTGAAAAGAAACAATATCTAATAATACCCCCTTTCAGTCTCCCCCTTTCCCCCACCATTCAAGAACCAATAGATAGATAGAAGATAGAAAGATGTGGTGAGTATCAAAATGCCATGTTGACTCTCGACTCAAACATTGTGATCTTAATGAAAAACTCGCCTGTAGGTACAAGGTGGCTTTTCAATGATGTTTGTATCAGTGTAACATTCATCCATCCGAAACACAAACAAACTCATCTGATTGAAGCATACCAAATGTAATGACAACTCAACCGATGAAACATCAAGCTGATTACGAAAATGCAGATATGAGAAACACAGATGCACGCATGATGTGAATTTCTAATACAATTATAATACACCGATGGTATCATTATCATAAACAGGTAAGATCAAGCCAAAAAGGGTACCATGACAAAACACACCTCTACAAATAAACATCTAGTTATAAACCGCCACTTTGTGTGCTAAAAATGATTACAAACACCTAGATAGCAAATACAAATAGAACCACACTTACTAGCCATAAGAAAAACAAACCTAAATGTTCCAACTTTGATCGAAAGCATGTTTATCATCTACTAGTATAGGCCATCAATGGCAATGCCATTCTTGTTCGAATCTAGACACGAATCCATTGGTTGATGATTTGTATTTCGCAGTGAAAGATCGACTGATGAAAAACCTGTGAAACAAAACAGCTATGTACACAAACCAAAGTATTGCAACCTGACGAAGGTAATTTACAACATCGGTGCCGCAGTAATTGTACTTACCCTGGACACCCACTCAAGGAACGGTCGTGCTTCATTTAATATATTGCTTTAGAATGACATTTCTCTTCACTACTAATGAGCTTGACTTTCATTGTCAACTTATATTCTGTCTTGTAATCTATGCATCAACATTGGCTATTTAGGCATAATGTGATTGAGAATCCATTATACCTCACATCCTCGATCTTAACGTCGCTAAAATCGAACTATAATGACATCGACATTATTTAACAATTCTTAGATTATAGCTTGATTAAAGGGCCGGGTTGATCTGATGCGTTCAATCATAAAAATGAAAAAGCAAAGGGGCATAATGGCAAAATAAACTCTTGATATAAAAATAGATATCAAAGGTGCTTATACTTACCAGACTTTAAATTATCTCAATGGAAATTAAACAGTGAATTGTTTTACAGTTTCCGACAGGTTTATCTTACTATATTACCTTGGCATGTTGAGACTGCAGGTACTGCTAATGGATGATTATTATACACTTACACAATGCGGCGAACATCCTTAGTAATCAGCTTCAAGGAAAACACTATTGTATAACACAAAATCGTATTGACGTTAAACAGAACGAGGTGAGTCGAAGTCACCCTATTACAAGAGCCATTCACTTGCTATAATCACTTCCTTTCTGAAAGCATTGGATTATTGAATTTTGCATAATTCGTACAAAAACGTTACTTGCCTTGGGTAAACATATTATGTTTGCAATAGCACCAATTGAAGAGAGTTTACTCTTTTTGATGTTAGTTCATATTAAGTTATCCGTCGTATGTTCAGAAATTAATGGCTTCCTGATCAGAGTTGCACATTTTCAGGAACGCATAACTCATTTATACATGGTCCACATCTTTCAGGTTCGCATAAAGATTGCATAAATGATCAACATTTGTAAAATTTGTAAATTTTCTTACCAGGTACATCTAACTCATTCAATTCATCGTCTACATATTTCACATCTTTACACATACATTACATACATGTACAACTGTACCTTAATTTGTTCAATTTGGAAATGTAAATGTTTCTGATTATATGAAACTACCTTGATATCATGCGCGTAGAGACTTGTTATAAACTACTTGATGACGAGGCTCTCTTCAAGAAGCAAAGACGAGCGAATGCAAAGGGTCCTACCTCGAGGGCGTACAAATCTTTTCTACAGGATCAAAAGAGAGGATTTGATAGCATCATGTGTTTTTGATGATTCTGCTCAAGGGGTTTGATTCACTGCAATTACAAACAAACATACCTCAGCAAGGATTACATTAAGTCGTCTTGCTTTCACTTGTTTACGAGATTGAATGATAAATACCTTGTTTCCTCGTAGAATGTAAAGAAGAGATTTATTTAAGATAATTATTTAGGATAATTGTTAGTTCTTTGATGCCCGTTCACTTAATGCTTACGTTGCTTTCTAATGGGAGTCACTATGAGGGATATAATTGAGAAACGCACTCAATAAATCAAAGCTTATTTATTTATATCGGAAAGAAGCGAAATCCTGCATTAAGATTTATGACAAAGACAGGTTCCTGCTTTATAAAACAGCACACGTAGTGATTGCGAATTCATATTCAAAATTGTCTATCGTTGATTATAAGGTCAAATTGCTATTCACTGTCGTAAATTAACTAGTCTTGCACTGTAATTAGCGTAGTGATGCGTCCTGTGTTTAATGATAATAACACTAGAAAGAATATCTTAGACGTGATCTAGACTTTATATTATGACTGCTTCTTTGTCATGCATATGGGACAATCTGTGATATCTTCGATTCTATTTATGGCTCAAGGTCATTTCACAACTATGATGACGTTGATTTTCCATTTTCTATTTATGGTAAGGCGGTCGACTCTTTCTTATATGTGGTAGGGGGATTTCTTCTATTTTATATGGTAAGAGGGTGATTTCTCATATAAATGATAAATGAACGCTTCTTCATATATAACAATTGTAAGAGAGTTATTTTCATCTATATTGTATGGGATAATCTTTAAGAATGACATTGTCATGATTTCTCACATATACATCAAAGCGTGATTAGTGAATTATATGATCAATGTGGTTTTTCATAAATATGGTAAGATGGTGATTTTTATCTGTTGTCACGACTCCTTACATAGTAAGCGGGTGATTTCCTTTTTATATGATGAATGTGGTCCATCATAAATATGGTAAATAAAAGTCATAATTCTTCATTTTAAAGTGGTGATTTCGTGTGAACTGCAAACACAAAATCAATAGGATATATATCATATCATATATGACTTATTGGGCAACCAATTTTATTCCATCATGCAAACCATTAAATCTCATTCAGTGAGCGAAACAATTTTCTTTGCAAAATGGCAGAGCATACATTTCTGTTTGGAACATGTGTTAATTTGTGGGAAATGATTTTAAAGCAATTCATATTTACATAAAAAAGTTTGCACCAAAGTCTAAAGGTTGCGCAGGTTACAGTCCATTATGAGTTGAAGCATTTTTTGGGTGATGATTTGAGATCGAAATGATAGAGACAGTTAGATAGACCTCGTGTTTTTTTAATTTTATGATACTTTCATTGTGTATGTATTGCCTTAATCACCAAGCCGCCAGGACCTTTGAATTCTGATACCCATCACATATTTTGCCTTAGACTAAAAAGAAACTAATACAAGGCCATGATTTATCATGATGGGACCTTGTCCTTTATCTAATATCTGTGCAAGACCTGGTTTCGTTTTTAAAGGAACTTATATTATGGATACCTCTCGCCTGACAATTTAATCGTAACTCTGACAGATTCAACCTTTAAGCTATCTGTAATCTCGCTTCCGTTGTATTTAATTTATCAAAATGACCATCATGTCAATGATATATCTGATATATTGTCAATATAATAAATATATCACTAATCGATTTCTAATCCCCGTTTGTCCTTTTCCGATACCAATCACACTTGCAACCTGTTGCAGTGTTGCTGTATCTTAAAGTATATTATTAATTGATTGGCGTGATATAGATACCCAGATGAGCGAATAAACACATTTTATAAAACTGTTGTAATTATAAAATAATCAATCATTTTGTTTCCTGTTTTACAGAAAGGCGTGTAGCTGTTGGAGAAAACTGAAATAGCAGAGATTGGATTTAATTGTACAGCTGCTGGATATTCTATGAAGCCGTATCAAGTGTGAGGACCATTGGATATCAATGGGGAAGTACCTTGTGTATAATATAACCAATAATCGTTTATATCATTGAAACTGAATCAAATATAACTACTGGATATTTAGCAGCGCAGAAGCTGTATCAAATATAACTACTAAGTATTTAGTTTCGATGAAACTGGATTAAATATAACTACTGGATATTCAGTAAAGTAAAGAAGCTACAAAATATACTACTGAATATTTCATATTGCAGAGACTGTAAATAAAAACTTTTTGATATTTGGTATCACAGAACCTGTATCAAATATAACTATTGGATATTTACGATCGTAGAAATTGAGGCAAATATCACCACACGTCAACAACTGTATCAATAGCGTTGTTGAACATTGGAGATCGGGATGATTTGAATCAATCCGTGAGTCCTCTGAGACGTATTTACTAAGAGCATCCGAAGGGACTAACACAATGGCAGAGCTTACGTATGAAATATCCAGTAATGAACTGGCCAATAATACTGACTGGAAGTACACTGATGGGAACGGAACAGAGTTCAATTTGGACTCGTTCTTGGGACTAAACGAGGATAAAGCCCCTGTTATCGTCTTCGTCGTTATCTCAACTGTCCTTTGTTTACTGAGTGCGGGGGCGAATCTCCTCTCTATGATAGCAATTCAGCATATTCCTGGAAATTCCACACCTATACATATGCTTTATATTAATTTAGCCGTTGCGGACATGATGGGTGCCGTAGCTACGTTTGTGTCCCAAATCGGAACACGCATAAGCTTTAATTGGGTCAGGGATATCCCTACGTTGAACGTGTTGGGACACACGGATGCCGTCGGGTTCGTCTTGCTCGTGTTCTTCTATTGTGGCAGTGCATTTACGCTCCTAATCTTCTCTATACTTCGCTATGTCGCCATAGCATACCCACTTAAGTATAGCGCTATTTTCACAAAGAAGAACATCTTTGTCTTTGTCACAATCTGTTGGATAGTTTCTGCAGTGATTAGTGCACCGGGACTCTGTGGTATCATATTTAAGAGGAATCCCCACTGCAAGCCGTGGAATTACGTGTGGCCTTGTATTATCGGGGGTGTGTTCATCGCCGTCGTTGCGTTATATGCTCGCGTCTCCCGGGGCCTATGGAGTCGATCAAATAGTGCCGTTTCGGAGCACCAAGCGGATGACAATTACAAGGCCTTTGTTACCACCCTCATTCTCACCAGCACGCTTCTAATTTCCATGCTGCCGTTCGTAATTTTCAAAATTCTGCGATTACACGCCGAGCAGACAGACAAAATAACTCCATTTGTATTCAACAATTTCATCTGCTATTTACCATATATTAATTTCCTTTCGGACCCGCTGGTATACGGCGCAAGGACACGGGACGTTCGGGAGGGCTACAAGCACCTCCTACAAAGCATGGGACTAAACAAGGAGTACGATAGGCGCCTTCAGGATGGTATTTCAGCAGCAAAGCAAACGGAGGATACTGGGGTCTAAGGCGATATATACCACGGCAATCATAATGACATTTTGTCAGACAGAGGAGATGCATAAGAATACCGAACATAGTTTTTTGACAGACAAGCATAAATCATGCAGAGAAACATGCAGGTTGATTTCAATTAGCCAAAAAATAAATTACGTTTTAGACCTGTTGATGTTATAGCAATTTAGTAGATCATAACTTATCCTGCTTCACTAACTCAGGTCTACAGCAACCTTCTCACCAGTTCAATCTATTTCACAGTAGGCATGTTCACCAAGCCTTCACAACCACCGGTATGTTTATCACTTGAGATAACTCGTATCATATCACTGTTCTCATTGGCACGTATGACTAGCTTGATACGAGTTACATTTCACATATTCTGCACTTGCATGCTCAGAATGTTAACATTAATGTAAGTTGTTAAACTCAATTAACAAGAGTTCACATGATCACTAGTAATTTGTTAACCATCGCACTGGTTTGTTTTACTGGCGTCTCCTCTGTAATTTAATTGATATATCGCAAGGTATATAACACCTTAGATCTCCGTACGCTTCGCTTGTCACCTCTGCACGGGTCATTTAACCCGCGAATGACACCTTGGATGCACCTCGGATGTCATCATCACGTTCCAATGACGTCACTGATTTACGTTCCTCAGAGAACAGGACACTCCAAATGTTGAAACACCAACACGCATGCCCAAGATGTCGTCAAGTGCAAATATGATTTATGTTGTTAGGAAAAGTCGCACATCTTCGATTCTCTAGATATAGAGTGTCACAAACATGACCTGCAAGATAAACGTTGCTATGACACCCACAATAATTTGTGTAAAATTAGAGGGAATTGGTGGGTGTCGAGCTTATAAATGCGAAGACGAATGGGTTAAAACGTGCTACTGAAGTTAGCGCACTTTCAAAATATCTGTAGTGAATGGTGATAACAGCATCAATTGAAGTGAAGAAACCATTCGATTGTGAATTCGGAGCAAAGATATATGGCCTCAAATAAGCGATAATCCTAAGATGAAGGTGGTGAACCACATGACGCGTTTTACTCCAGTGCGTTCATTGATTACATCCCCGGGCAAATGCATCGAAGCAAATACATTTCGTGTTTGTCAAATGATGACACGCCGATTATCTAATGAAGGAACAATGTGCTTCATTTGTCACAGAGCGAATGGCAAAAAGCTTATATAATGAGTAAATCTAGGCTGTGTTAAGTTATTAGGTGCATTCTATCCTTTATAGTGCAGCGTGTAGCATGATTCCTGAGGGCCAATTCTGACACGAAAAAGAGGATTGGGCATGATCATTTTCTGTTAAACATTGAGAACATTTCATTCCTTCATATGTTACGAATTATGTCCAATAATATTTAGGTTTAAATCCCCGGGTTTTAAATCTCCAGATATCATTATTGCACTGGATGAAATACTAACTGACATATTTTCATTTTGACTCTTTTTAAGTTGGAAATAAAAATATTAGTCAGGAGTTCGAGAATAAAGTCATAGGCCACTCGTTTGCACGTTAAAGTTGATGTCCTCTAAACTAATGTACTTACGGATAACAGCACATACTAAAATTACCTCCAGAATTATTAAAACATGGTACTTTCTCTTGATTTTGTTCTCGAGGTCACAACTAATTATTTCTCATGGGGTATCGACTTTTGGCAATCAACTGAAGATACCTGAAGAAAAGCCGGAGATTGCCGAAGATTGCCGAAGCTTTTCTTTGCAAACAGGTTAGCCGAGGGTACCATGAATGTGAAGAAGACGTCTCTAATTGGTCCAAAATAGAGGCTCGGCATTCTCCGTCAGATTGAATCGGCAAAATTCGGTTGTAAGGCTTACTTTCGGTTGTATGGCCTACCGTCGGCTGCATGGCCCAACCTCGATTGATTGGAAAAGATGCTGTCCCATTTCTCATGTATTAACAGCTTGACGACTGGTGATTTGGGCCTCCATTCCATGTGATTAAATTCTCAATCCAGCCTAATGAGCATTTAATTTTGTATAAGGGCCGCTGTAAAGGTCACCTCATCATAAATTATTTTTCATCTGTATTATGACTTTAAGGTAGATAGTAGATACACGTGATGAGAGATTTCTTGTTATTTTCATTATTAAAATTATGAATGATTAATGGAATGGAAATACTTTTCAAAATTGTGGATTTTTACACGTCATGGTAGAATACCTTGTTTAAAATCAAACGAATATATTAAGATGTATTTTCAAATGACAACCCCCCCCCCCGCTGTTTAAATTTGTTTTCTGAACATGTGGAACTACACTAAAAATACACAATTAATATACTGGACAGTATTGGCGATCAAAATATGGGTCAGAAGCTTCTATGGGAAATCCTTTTGTCTATCGTGTGTAAAATGATCATCGTATTTTGGTGGTAATACATGCATAACAACAATGGCGTTAAGTCCAGAAGTCGACTAATTAATAAAAAATAGTCAACAAGACGGTTTACATAAATAAATGAACAGCATTATATGTAAAGGTGGTTTTCTCAGTTTTTCAAAAAAAAATTGGAAAAATCGCCCAAATTCAATCCGATGTATTCAAATTATGTATTCTACCATATTGTGTGCATATCCGCATAAATATTTTTTTAAATATAAAAAATGTCATTGATGGGAATAGTGATTATGAAGACTATAAAACAATGCGAAACTACCTTAAAGGTGCAATAATTAGTGCAGAGGGGTCATTCAACGATCATGGACCAGTGTCAAAATATATTTAAGTTTGGATATTTCATCAAGACTAACATCTATTTTTATTATCTACAAAGAAACCCCCTAGATAAACATTATTTTAGCTGGTATTCCTCTTGAAACATGGTGGATCTTAAAAATAAAAATGTGGAAGTCCCCTTTTTGAAGCTTTGAACTGAATTTACACTTCTTAATGCTGAAATTCATAATTTATCCATACATTTTAAGAAAATAGGTATGTCAAAGAAGATGTTAAACCAAATGTTGCCTTGATAGCTCAGAAAAAATGAAAAAAACTTTCCTATTTTCTCTACAGTCCTTATTGCCCCTTTAAGATAATGCCAAAATGGCAGGTGATAAAATAATGAAGAATAGATGTAATAACTCAAGGGGTGTCAATTAGTATTTTATTACTATATTTATGTTCACGTTTATTATTCAAGTTGAAACGCTTATTTGCAACGTTGTATAATTTAAACAGTTATTGAACTTAAAGGAGGTATTTAACGCCAAAACTACTGTTTATGTTATGATAATTACTACACAGTGTATCCTTTAAGAAGTTATTGCTACTAAAGTCTAAAACAAAGTTTCAACCCCGGGTTTCAGCTTGTGATCGAAAGACGTGCACATTTTTTTTACATAAAAGTGATTAGATAAATCAATCTATTCATTTCTATTAGCACACCCCTGTGCAAAACATAAAGAACATATGCACCTGGTTATACGTAGTATAAATCTACTGATGTATATCGCTGTATTATTGTATCGCACACACCAAATAATATATTGTTTATATGTCCAAATATCGCCTGTGAATATAGAGTACTGTATGGACCAATGGTGTCGAATATTTAAAAAAAACTGAATATAAACGTTTCATTTTTCATAAAATTGGCGACACAGCTGGCTGGACAATAGAGGTAATCTGTTATTTGGATATGTATGCAAACGTGCCAATTGAGAAAAGACAAATTAAAGCAAGCAAATGAAACATCTAAGAGTACGGTCACTCAGGAAGCCATGAACCCCAAATATCCCAAACTATCACCTAATCTGTAAAAGGCTCGGATCGTTCCTCCATCCCCTCCAGTCAGGAAGCATGAAATAGGGCCATGCAATCTTTTCATACTGAATATATAAGCGCAAATGCCAAAAGGGAAGGGTGACTAAAAACTTTAAAGAAACCCAACAAGAAAAGCAAACTGTAAGTGTAAATCTGTCATAAGAAAAGTAGACCCTATATACCCCAAAACCATGATCTAACGTGAAAAGAAACAATGTCTAACATCCCCCTCCCCCTCCAATCGAGAAGATACATATACGTTTACTTAGAAAATAAATAGCTTGTAGGCATATCGTTTCCGATTCAGTGGTACATTGAAAAGTTTATAATGTAGATTGAATCTGGCATCTGGGTCTCCCTTTGTTACATGATTATCCCAATCAGAGAGAGAAGCCGTGCATTCGTCCGTCCGTTCGTCCATCCGTTCGTTTGTCCGGACGATAACTCAAATATCGGTTGAGGGATTTGATTCAAATTGTAATTGGCTTATGATTTTTGATGTAGGACCTCTACTCAGAAGGAATTTTCAAACGTCGACAACTCAAATACCTTTAGACAATTTTTGTTCAAACTTTATTTTTTGCATGCTGATACCTAGTGAAAAGGAGCTCTGTGAAGGATGATTTTTCCAAAGTAGCCACTATTATAAAAACATGTGTTGTTCTGTAGGATTTGCTACTCCATGGAGTTGTTATTCTCTAGTTTTATGGCGAATTGTATTAAAATAATTTTTTAAATGATCATTTAAACTCTGATTCCAGTCTATTTACCAAAAACTGCTATGAGTACATGCCGAGGCGGAGAATTAACGTGGCACAAGTACATTCATTTACCAGTTGGTCCCATAGGGGTAGAGTGACATTTTCACAGTCGTCAGCCGCTGGGATTCCAGTTAATTTTGTGTTTTCAATCAAGTCATAATTCTTCTCTTGGAAATTACTTGTTGGAAAAGGCATTACGCAACTCATGAATAGAATAATTAGACATTTTGAAATGACAAGTGAAGTTATTATGAGTTCTAGAGAACTGCGGAAGTGAGAGAGATAGGGTAATCGAAAGTTTCTGGGTTCAAGTCCTTCTATGGTTGAATGAATTAGCCATTTTTCATTGGAACTTATTTGTACTTAGATATGTATAACAATGAATGATTGTACATGATATCGGATTATCATCAGTGACGATACCCAGATGTCTGCATTGTAGATTATACTAAACTTACAAGATATATTCTCAGAAAAAATGCATTTAAAAATACAATCTTACAATCAAACATTCGTCAGTTTTGACCTTGAGGAATAACGATATTTCTTATCTGAGAAATAGACACACAGACAGAAATCTAAAATCTGTTAACTCATGGATTCATATCGTCCAGTTTAGATAATGTATTTTGGGGACATGAGAGAGTTCATTGTAACTCAGCGGGTCGAATTAACTTGATTTCGAAATGCTCGTTGATCTATTGTGAATGTAGGCGTCTGGAAAATGAATATATGTATATAATACTACTCAGACATGCAGAACTGGCACATTACACGCAACTTCCAAAACAATACCAAGTGCTGTATACGAATTACATGCAATTCCTGGTCGATATATGGCAAATTCTATGAATTTATACAATATCCTTATACATGTCATTCATGAATCTTGCAAAAACACTACTTAATTATACAGGTTTTGTTTTTTGGATGAGGCCCGTTATGACTCAATCAATATGTTAAAGTATACAAAAAGAGAGAGTATGGTGATGGAAAACACCTAGTCATTTACTCGCCTTTCAAACAATTTATAACACATTGAAATGCATGTAGGTATAATCTCATTTTTGAAGTCTGAAGAATGAGATTTCGATATGAAACACTTAACTTTTGGATAATCTGATATGTTTCCTTTTAAGAACTCAATAGGGAATATCTCATAGCTCACTGACTGAATAGCATGACAGTAAGTTCATATGCATCAAAGATAAATGCACAAAAGGTTAAAGGTGCAACAAGTACTTTACCCATTACATATAGATTCAGCACTTTGGCGTCGGTGCTACATTCAAAATCGTTAACACGAGTAATTGTTCTCAATTTACGGGATTATTGATTGCAGTTATATTTTCAAAGTTGTTAGTTAAGTATAAATGATTAAACAGACTCGAGAGAGTACTCGTGCAACCTCGGTGATTTTTTCTAGTGCACGGAATCGTTTTCCAATCAGTTTATAATGCAGTTGTGACAGATAAACAATCATGTTGCCATACATTGTACACCTTGAATACAATATAACGATTTATCATTTAGCATAATAGCGAAATTGACGTCCCTTTCAAAAATAAATAACATATTGAGAAGGTAATTGACTTATTCATTAGTTACCAAACGTTCATATTGTTTGTTTCAAAAGTCACTACTGTACTTATAAAAATGTTGACTACGGGGGCGATTATGGGGGCGACATTGCGATGGTTTTTGACCCGTTGACTTCCCTGGATTTTGAGGTTTAATGTTCCACATTGTATGAGAGCTAACGTCTATTTATAATGTCACAAGCATTGTAGATGTTT